TTATTATTACCCTTTTTTGGGGCAACTCCTTGTGCAAATTTGTTTTCATGATTGTTGTTGGCTGGCAACATAAATACCTACCAGCGAACCACACACACACATGTGTGCCTGCAACTCCGACCATAGCATAATACGAGTGAGTACACATTAATGTCTGAAACGTTTAGTGTTCATTTAAAATGTGGCATGCATGACATTTAATTGGCCTCATTGCATATATAAAAGAAAACTGAAAACTGAAAAAAAAATTGAAAATAAAACCAAAACTGAACGCCCGTTCAATTCAACAACGAAACGAAGTCATTGGGAAGTGTTTTTTCTAATTTTTTCATTTTCCTTTCTTTGTGCGAAACTGGGCAATTATTCACATATTTGGCGGCTAACCAAGCATTGAAGCAGTGACAATAACAGCAGCAACAACAACAACAAAAAAGTAAAAGCATGGCCCTTTTTTGTTGTAGAGAATTTCATAGGATGACGTTGTTGTTGGCCACCAACCATTTTTAGCGGCTGACCGACGAACTATTCAATAACTTTTTTTTTTTTTTTTTTTTGTTTAATTGCCGCTTGCCATTGTTATGCAAAAACAATAACCAACAACGTCACCAGCCGCTGCTTTTCTTCTTTCATTATGACAGCTTACGTTTTTGTAACATTATCGATCGATCGATATGAAAATAACAAAAGCAAGCATCGTCCAAAAAACAAAAAAACTGGTGATAATGAAAAAATATCCCAATTTTCTTAATGAAAAGACACAAAGTCGTGACAAACGATTTTGTTTAAACATGGTATTAATAACCAAAAAAAACGTTTTTTAATTGAAAAAAAAGGAATAACGAAAATTATTAACTCTGTGTGACGAATTTTGAATGATAAGCAACAAAATGCTTTAAATAGGCTAATTATCAATGGGAAAACATTGATATTTAACGGTGTTTAGGATTATCATGCTTTTTTTGAAACGATTGCAATCAAGACCGTTTTGTAAACTGATTTCATGACTCAGGCATTTGTTGCATGCAAATGGATAAACAAATCACTGGTGGATAATGTATGCTGCATACTTTTAGGATGGTCTTTGTATAGAACTACATTATAAAGCCTATTAAAATGAGATGCATAGTGGTAAAAGTTTATAGTATTTAGAGGCTAGTTTACACATCATGTTAGAGTCATATGTTAAGTTATACTAAATATATATGTTATTAATGGGGTATATTTATAGAAGGGTTGTTTCAAAAGGGGATTATTTCAATAGATTTATTTTGTAAATAGCGTTTCTACATATCAAGAACTCATTATACCAAAACTTGGTGAAATTAGGCGGAAAATAATGTACAAATGATTCTGGACGTAATCCAAAGATCTCTGTCAATTTTCAAAACTCTATCCTAAATGTTGCGGAATAAATCTCAAATTTTAGAGGTCCTTTATACAACATTTGAGCTAAGAACCCAAAATTCCTTTGGGCCTGTGATCTCAGAAAGTGCTCTATCAAGTCCACTTGGCATTTTCCATAACCCAAAGTGACTATTGTTCAGGGAAATTATAAGAAAATTTCCAGCGAATTGGGAAGAAGTGCAATATTTTTCAAAAATGAACAAGGTTTCTTATTAAAAAAATTGATGCTATATTTTTATGGCACATATTAAGCATACATTTTTATACCCTCCACATTGGAAAGGAGGGTATATTAACTTTGTCAATCCGTTTGTAATACCCTTAAGTATTCGTCGTAGATCCCATAAAATATATATATTTATAATCAGCATAAAATTCTAAGTCGATTTAACGATGTCGTCTGTCTGTCTGCTGAAATCACGTTACAGCCCACATTATTTGACGTAGAGCGCCAAAATTTAGCAGAGCAATTTTTATTGTGTCTGGATGGTTGGTATTGAAAATGAGATACATCGATCCACGTTCTGGTATAGTCCCCATATAACGGTACCTCCCGATATTGGGTATTTTGTCTGAAAATTGGTATTTGTAGGTCATAATGGGTTCTAGCTCCTTTGGCGATACATTGCATGTGTAGGTCCACGATTTGGTATAGCCTTCATATAACGGTACCTCCCGATATTCGGCATTTTGATGGTTTGTGCCACATTTCCTCCAATGTTTCCTTTACCCTAAGGTGGAGGGTATTAAAAGCTTAATGTTTTTTTGCGAAATTTTATGACAATTTCGTTGAAAAAATGTGGCTAAAATCTGTAAAATACGGAATATTTGAAGGTACATTGATATGGAAAATATACGAAGATGTGGGCCTGAATACATAATTTTTTGTCACAGAAAAATGCCAAATTTGAAAAATTCCACAGACATAAATCATTCAAATACCGAATATTGTTAGGTACAGTTATATGAGTGCTATATGGTCCGTGGCTGTTTACAAACAAAGTCAACCGTCATAATTTTTAGATTTCTTTTTAAATTTTATTGAATGAAAGCAAGAAATGTCGAAAATAGCATCAAATTTTAGAATACATTTAGATTTGTTCGAATTGGTCACCTTTGGCACGAATTATGGCCTTCAAATGGCCAATGAAACGTCACACGCTACCCGAATGTTGCTCTGCTGAATTTTGGCTCATTCTCGGTATTTTTTAGTACTTTCCAAAATACTCTAGACATAAAAGTCCAACGGATTGTATCCGGAGATTTTGGTGGCCATTGTGCGCTGAAAATCAAGCGAAGAACCACATTTTGTAAACATTCTTGGGTGGCGCGTGCTGAGTGCGATGGCTGAGTCCTGTTGGAATGTCCAAGGTCTGTGGCCAAAATTTTTGCGTGCCCAAGGCTTTAATACACCCTCAGAATATTTTCGCGATAATATTCAGCATTTATTCTGATGCCACGGTCGATTAATACTAGCGGAGAGCGGCCATCGGCAGTTCTGGTGGCCAACCGAAGGTGCACATTTTCAACTGACCTCTTTGGCAAGTAAACACGATCATTTTGTTTGTCTACAAACTGCTGGACAACGAATGTTTTCTCATCGGAGAAAACCAAATTCGGCAGTCCACCACTTTCAACTCGTTAGCTCTTTTAAGTCTATTTTCTTTCTGTTGCGGTTTTGGAATCTTGGAATTTCAATGGCTTTACCCCGAGCTCATTTTTCAATATTTGCCGAATGTAATATAGCGATATGTTCAGCTCACGAGCCATTTTTCGGCCACTGCGACGCAGTCAAGTCACTTCTTTACTTTTCGAACCATTTCGGCTGATGTTGCTGTTTTCTTTCGTCCACTTCCTTGACGTCGGGCTACGCTACCAGTATCACGGTAACGAGCGATGGTACGAGACTCAAAATATTTATTCACATTTCAATGCTGGAGTGCTCCAACGATAGAAAATTGTGGTTTTCCAGCCAAATATGAAGAAATCACACTATCACGCTGGACTTCCATCACGAATAACATTTTTTTTTTTGGAAAATGCTCACCAAAATCCTTTTTTACACTTGTAAACAATGTTATGAGCTGTCACTGGAATAATTTTAACAGCTGTCGGACGAGTGGCTTAGAAATGGCAGCAGTCTGAAGTTGTTTGCAGCTTTTTCATCTCGCCCTGTATATCTTAATAATATAGAAATAAATACTACATTCCAAAGAATGGCTCTTGTAAGTCATCCACACCAAATATGCCTGAAGAGCCTGTGTGGTAGTGCCTCTCTGGCTCTTCTTGTTTACTACAAATAATTTTCGCCCTACAAGTATGCTACAAAATGTTAAAAATAAAAATGCTTAAAAGCTAACCTAAAACGTGGATATTTTTCAAGGAAATTATATAGATATTCGAAATTGGCAATGATTTTTACAAATATCCTTACATGTAACAGTAACTGTATATTTAACATATTGTAAAAGTCCCGGGAGCAAGGGCGGCCATTAACACACCAGATGTTCACATTTTATTGCCTTTTTATTAAATGAAGCATGATGCTGTACAACTTTTCTTGACATTAGGATAATACATTATAGTCTTAAGGATTCCTTTATATTGTTTTTAATTGTAATCTTATTGATAAAAAAAGACTCAATAAAATATAACTTAACTTAACTTTAACATATTGTTTAATTAATTTAGCCATAATTTTAGTTTTCTCCATGCGAAGGATATTAATAGTAAACATAAAGTATAATTTATAAATGAGAAACGACAATAAATTTAACTATGAAAAATATGTATGAAATTTATTAAGATTGATAACTACCGCACTTAATATCTTTAATTGTTTATGTCAACCCGTTATTATTTCATTTTCAATAGTTTTAATTTACAGCTTTCTGTTAATCACAAAATATGTTGCATACTTTTAGGACAGACTTGTTTATTCTTTATATATTTTAATAAATATTAGGAATCTTGAAAATTTACTAAAATAGCTACATCCTAATCTATTAATTATTTTATTATTAAACAGCAAAACTAAAAAACGAAAAAAAAAACACAACTGTCGTTAGCCTCAAAAAAAAATAAAATCACCAAAAAAAAGAATTATAAAAAAATAACGTTTCGTCAAATATATTTTAATTTAATTATGCTGTAGCCTCAAAATGTCGTCTGCTTAAAGTGCAATAGCACCGCAGAAACAAACACACACACACCTTGTTGGGGCATACCGATTTTAGCAAATCATCTAATGGTTACGCATTTGTGCTTGCCGTTTGTTTTGTGTTTTTCTTCTGCTTGTAAGGCATTTACATTGCGTAAATATTTGCAACGACCGTATTTTTTGGGTGGTGCCTCTTGGCTGATAAAAATATCTGCGTGTGGCGTTTGAGTTTTTCTTTTTTTTTGGCATTTGGATTCCTTAAATTGTTTTGAGGTTCTCATATAAAAATACATGCACACAACGATACCACAATTACAATTGGTATCATACATTGTTTTCTTGCCTTTTGATTTCTTTAATTATGTTTTCTTGTTGCTAATCTCTTGTTCTGAAATATTGCTAACCTTTTTGTGTTGTTTTTGTTGTATATTTGCAGCACGCCAACTATGTACGCCAAGCAGCTGAGGATTATTTGGCTCGACGTCAGGCACGCAACAAATCAATGACGCGTTCAATAACTTCAGGCTCGGCTGGGCCAATTTTGGCCATGGGCAATGTACACTATTTGGTTGGAGCCAAAAGCGGTACATTCTTTGCCCGCGATAATGTATCAAATTTCATAACATGGTGCAGGTGAGTTGAAATTAAATAAAAAAATGAATGTGAGAAAATGCCGGAACTCTATCACGATAAAGTTGGCAATATTTGAATCTAAAGAATGAATTTTTAAGAACTATAGGAAAAATTCATGAAATGTTTATTTGAATTTGAAATATTACGATCCATATATTATAATGTCTAAAGATTATTTCACGAAAATGTTTACCGGCACTGCGGTTACAACTCAAGTGGTCCATCCGCTTAGTTAAATTTTGGCATACTCTTTCCCACATTTCGGCCGGTATCTCACGAATAAATGCTTCAATGCTGTCTTCCAATCCGTCAATTGAAGTGAATTCTTTGTATAGACATGAGCTGTAACCATAGCGACATTAAAAATAGTCCAAAGGCGTTACATCGTTCGATCTGAGATTCACTCCAGTATCGACAATTCTGCTTATTTACGTACCAAAAACTAAAGAAACAAGACACGTGCGTAACTTCTTTAATCCAGTATTTCCAAATAGATATCAGCTAAAAAATCACCCTTTATTTTTTTCATAAGATGTCTTGTATAGACAGTTCAGGACTTTGAAGCCCTTGTAACAAAGGGCCCCTTCATGGTATCCCCTGTTCGAAAAAATGACCTTCCTTAAACTTCCTTCGAATAGCAAACAATGATTATCGCTGATTTTCTCTTCCGGTTAAGCTCTGTCCAAGATCGCTAGTGGGAGGTAATCTTTGGATACCAATAGAGCCGTACCCTCGTGTGGATTTTTTTATTCCTCATTGGATCGGCGTTTTCAGAAATAGACTTCCCTTTAGTAGCCTTGACTTTTCGGTACTCGTCTTTTCCTTACCAAACCAGACAGATGAGTGACGAAGTGAGTGACCATTGCATTCTTGGGAGAGAGCTGTCTCCTTTCTCGAATAGCTAACGATAACTGTCACCGATTTTCTCTTCCGGTTAAGCTCTGTCCATGATCGCTAGTGAGAGGTAATCTTTGGATACCATTAGAGCCGTACTCTCGTGTGGATGTTTTATTCCACTTTGGACCGGCTTTTTAGAAATAGACTTCCCTTTAGTAGCCTTGACTTTTCAGTACTCGTCTTTTCCGTCTTACTCGTAAGGGACCATAGCCTTCTTGGGAGAGGGCTGCCTCCTTCTTCGAGCGAAATCTCTCTCTAGAGACGGTGACTGTCTAAGCTCTCAACCACGATGGTCTTTCAAAAGGTTTCCCTGTTTTGCCAGCTATGCAGTGTGGAGAATTGCTGCTCTGTTCAGCCACACGTTGCTTACTCTTAGGTTTCACATTTTGTTCTGAATTGTATGCAACCTTTCCACTATTTGGCAACCCTGACGACGTAGACGTAGACGCAACCGGTTATCTCTGATGAGTTACCGACTTTACCATGGCTTTAGGATCCGATTCCGTGTTCTATGAAATCGTAGCTTTCGGATTTGTGGTGCGAGCGGGTCTCTTTTCCCGAAGGAGAATCCTCTACACCAAGAGTTCGAGTTTCAGTAGGTTCTTTCAAACTACCCCACGAATCTAAGCTTAGTCTTTATATACGAGATTTTCATCTCGATACGAATTCGGAGCTCTAACCACGGAAATACAAAAGAGCACTCTTCTGGAATTTAGCATATCCAACTTCTTTAAGGTCTGTGCCATCGACTTGTTCGTCGACTTTTCATCATCCTCGACATTAACTGCACTTCACCTTGGAAGTGTCGATTTATCAGCTACTGCTGTGATGTACGGCTTATTGGATAAGAAATCTTCCCAACTCGGTTATCCACACATTCTCCACAACTTCTAACTGGCTCAGGTCACCCATCGTTGACTTGCCTGGAATGATGTTCATTCAACCGTCAGGGAGATCCGTTAGGCTGGAACTGATCTCATCCATGAGGTAGAGGATCTCCTCATTGTGTCCTCCAGTCAGTCCTTGGATTTCACTGGCGTACTGCGTTTGTCGTCCCCTCCTTTTTGGTATATCTTTCGAACTTAATCACGAACCTAAACTTCGACTTGATATATAAGATTTCCTTCTTGGTATGCAAATTCGGATCCTTATCTAAGAATTTGTAGAGACAGAAAATCGAATTTTGCGTTAGTGCCATTTGATGATGGATCGACTTTTTATCGGCCTTCGAAATTAACAGCATATTGCCTCGGAAGTTTGGTTTTATCGGCTACTGCCAATATAAAAACCGCTGGATCGGAAATCCTCCCGAATTGGTTATCCACACATTACTCATCAACTTCCAGCTGACTCAGAACACCCTTTGTTGACTTTCCCGGAATGATGGTCTCATTTAGGTCGTTGTCGGTGAGGGTGACATTGTTCATCAAATCGTCGTGCTGGTCGTAAGGCTGACTGCCCGCTCGGTAAGATCCCATCCATGAAGTCAAGGATTTCCTTACTGTGTACTCCAGTCCGTCCTTAGATTTCACAGGCGTACTGCGTTTGTCGTCCCCTTCTTTGGGTAAGATCTTTCGAACTTCCTCTCAAACCCATGCTCAGTCTTTATATATTAAATTTCCTTCTTGGTATGCAAATCCAGATCCCTATCCAGAAATTTGCGGAGTCACAAAATGGCATTTCTGTAGAATTTTGCATCTTCAACTGCTGTAGCGTCAGTGCCATTGGAGGATGATTAATTTTTCGGTTTTTCATCATCCTCGATTTTATTAGCACTTTGCCTCGGAAGTTTTGTTTTTTTCGGCTACTGCTGCGAAATAAGACCTACTGGCTCAGAGATCTTCTCAATTTGGTTGTTCACACATTCCTCCTCAATTTTCAGTTGACTGAAGTCAACCTTACTTGCCTGGATTGGTGGTCTCATTCAAATCGTCGGTTTACATTGTTCATTACATCGTTGGAGAGGTCCGTTAAGCTGGAACCTCTCGATGATTTCTTCACTATGTATGTCCCGACCTTCTTTGGATGTCACTGGCGTATTCCCCTTCCTTCACTTCACAAATTTGCATTCTTGTAGAACTTTGCATCTCTAACTTCTTTAGCGTCAGTGCCATCGACTTTTCTTCCCCCTCGACATTTGCCTTGGAAGTTTCGTTTTACCGGCTATTGCCGATATAGAACCCGCCGGATCAGAAATCCTCCCAACTTTGTTACCCACACATTCCCCATCAACTTCTAGCTGACTCAGATCACCCTTAGTTGACTTAGTCTGGAATGATGGTCTCACTCAGGTCGTTTTGGGTGGGCGGGCCGTTAGACTGACCATGAGGTCGAGGATTTCCTCACTGTTTACGTCCAGGGTAAGATCTTTCGAACTTCCTCGCGAATCTGAGCTTAGACTTGATACATGAAATTTTCTTCTCGGTATGCAAATTCGGATCCCTATCCACGAATTTGCGAAGATACAAAATGTCATTTCTGAAGAATTTTGCATCTCCAACTGTCGTACCGTCAGTGCCATTGACATTTTCACCGGCTTTTCATTATCCTCGACATTAACAACACTTTTCTTCAGAAATTTCGTTTTATCTGCCGATATAGAATCCACTGAATTAGAGATCTTCCCAAATCCACACAATCCTCCTCAAGTTTGAGCCTTTGTTAACTTGCCTGAAATGACGGTCTCTACAGGTCGTCGTGGGGGATGTCCGGTTGGTATGATCTCATCCACGAGGTCTAGAATTTCCTCGAAGTGCACGTCCACTCCGTCCTTGGTTGGGTTTTTTTCATCCCCTTTATTCACATCGGTCGATATTTAAGAAGCGTTAGTCATTTGAGAATCCTCAACTTCCAGCTGACTCAGGCCACCCTTCGTTGATATGGCAGATAGTTGAGATATGCTGGGACCGTTCGGTATGAGGAAGTCGAGAATTTCTCCACTGTGTAGTCCAATCCGGCTTTTATATGTCAACAGTGTTCTGTGTTTATTATCCCCTTCCTTCACTTCGGTGCTTATTTGGGAAGCGTTAGCCGTTTGAATATCCTTAACTTCCAGCTGACTCAGGTTGGTCTTCGTTGACTTGCCTGAAATGATAATCTCATTCAGGTCGTCGTCGGTGAGGGTGAGAGAGACTGATCTCATCCATAAGGTCTAAGATTTCCTCACTACGTACCTCCAGTCTGTTCTTGGATTTCACTGGCGTACTGTGTTTGTCATACTCTTCCTTAACTTCGTTGCTTATTTGGGAAGCATTAGCCATTTGAATATCCTGGTCGTCAACTTGTCGAGAATTGCTTGCACTTTTAGGAGCAGTGGCAACAGGTGCCAAGGTAATCACAGCTGAGGTCGTTATAACGCTATCCCTGGATATCGACGGCACATGGCTTGCGAGCACACCAGCACACTTACGGTCGGCAATGGGTTATTTAGGCCCTGCGCCGGGATGTTACTCTTTTTTCATCTTTTCCCATATTTAATGTTACTTAATTATTTAATGGAACCACTCCGATCCGCTTTTGTTGCGGAGTAAGGCAACTCCATCAGACCGTGTAGTATAGGGGCTTCAGCCATACGCCTCGTCGTTGAGGCGGTGATCATTGGCGCTCGTTTATTTACATCGAGACGCTTATTGATTCGCAGCTACCCAATATATCTATTGGTAGTTCCACTATCCGCAACCTGTGGACGCGGCCATAAGCAATCAGCTATGCTTCCCGAACACGAAACATATTTTCCAAAATTAGAGTTATGGAAATAGAGCTAAAAATAAAAGACTCATGTCTCGGAGTTTGAAAGTTTGTATCACAAAGTAACTTCCCCCTTCCCTCTTCCATATTTTCCGGATTAAGTTTAAATTTCCACCATTTCGATCCAAACCACACGTTTCTCCATAAAAAACCTCTGATTACATGTTCTCTTAAATTATGTTAATTTGCCAAAACTGAAGACATTTCATTTACATCACACACACACACACACCCAAATACACACCGCCAAATATTTCGGAAGCATTCCTACCGATCATTGCACTTTCAACCAGAATTAAACAAATACAAATTCTTGGCAATAGAATTCAAAGCTAGACAGACTTCTAGCCAAACAACCAATCCAACCCGGTATATAGCTGCCTAGCCGCAAATGAAAGCAGAACGAAATGAAAAGTACTTAGAGAACTATCAAAAAAACGAAAAAAAAAGGGGAAAACAAAATCACAAAAATAAACAACAACAATTCTCTTAAGATTAAATGAAAATAACACCGCAGAACACTCTGCCAATGAAATGCCATGCTGCTACACTTTGAAGAATGAAAACAAAAAATGGGGGGAAATAGAAAACTATTTCAATTAAATTTAGATCAACGAAATTAAACCGTATCCGCGTAAAATTCATTCACAGCAAATTAATGTTAAATAATAAACGCATCACGCACGCACCCCAACAACAACAACCGAAAAACAACAATTCTCTTTGATGTGCGCCCAAAACTAATAATGAGTCAATGAATGGATGAATAACTCCAAAGAAATGGCTGGCAGGGCAGGCAGGCAGGCAGATGGATTGAAAGACAAGCAGCCATGTAAAGAAGGAAGGGAATTGCTTAGAGAGCCACAAAAACCGACCAAAAGACAGACATGCAGACAAACAATCATGGAAAGACATCACTTTACCACAAAACAGAAATCCACAACAGCCATGTAGACCTTCCGTAACATCAACACCTTCCATTGCAGCAGCCGCAACAACTTCAATTGTAATCATAAACCCCAAAGATTTACAATTTATTTTCTTTGTTGGAGGAATAACAAATCTTCTTTTCTTCACTTTTATCCTTCTTTCACTCATTCACTCATCTGGGCTGTTTGTTTGTCTTAATTATTATTTTATTATTTGGAAATTGATTGATTTGTTGATAAGATTTTTTATTGTTATTTATTGTTATTATTATTATTGTTATTTGTTTTGTGTGGTTGTTGAAATAATATTGTTGTTGTTGTTTCTCTTCTATTTCTTTGCAGAAAAAGCCTTAAAATTATAGAGTGCCTCTTATTCGAAACCGACGACCTCATTATGAGAAAAAACGAAAAACATGTCATTTTATGCCTTTTAGAAGTTGCCCGCAGAGGAGCGAAATTCGGTAAGTAATTTGAGAGATTCCTGCAAAAAAAAAAGACTTTAAAAAGAAAATATTTATCTGATAAGAGAAAATAATTTGAAATATATCAGCTACGAAGGCCGACTAGTACCATCTGGTAATATACTACCGAAACATTTTAAAAGAGTTGCTCATAAAAAGTAGATTTTCTGAGGTGCATCAAGTGACGTGTTTCTCTCTTTCCACCAAGCAATTTCTTTAAGTTGGTATTAAAAATAGATTATTTGCTCTTTAATGTACCACAAAAATTGAGTTTTTCAAACCTTATTCCGCTGCTATATTTAGTTAATAGTTCAATTGAACTTAATCGTCCGTGAATTACCGACAAAAATCGGTAAATCTAAATGCTTATAATTTAGGTAATGAAGGGAATTTTCGGGAAGCTGGCGGGCAAAATAAAGTTGTCCCCAATTCCTACCCAAAGCAATTGTGCTATCAACTTTGATTTTGACTCTTCATTAAGTCAAGCCTTGGGCACGCAAAAATCTTGGCCGCAACCTTGGACATTCCAACAGGACTCAGCACCATCGCACTCAGCACACGCCACCCAAGAATGTTTGCAAAATGAGGTTCCTCGCTTCATTTCCAGCGCACAATGGCCACCAAAATCTCCGGAACCAATCCGTTGGACTAATGTGTCTGGAGTATTTCATTGGCCGTTTGAAGGTCATAATTCGTGCCAAAAGTGACCAATTCGAATAAATCTAAACTTATTCTAAAATTTGATGTTATTTCCGACATTTTTTGCTTTCATTTAATAAAATGTAAAAAAAAAATATATAAAAATTATGGCATTTGACTTTGTTGCAGTTTTTATTTATCTCACCCTGTATTATTGTCAAACTTCAAATACAATTATTTACCTCATAAAAAGAGAAAGGATCATTCGAGTTTGTAGAAAATTTGCAAATTCCAATATTTTTGTAAAATGTGAAATAAGAGTTCGATTGTCTTCAAATTTCACACATCGTAATATTTTTGTTAACACAAGATCTGGTGTGATAATGGGATGATATATCGGCTAACTCCTTTTGGTACCTCCCACACAACGGGTCTACATTTTGAATAGTCAAAGAGCTCATAAAACGCTCATGTAATACGAATTAAGCATCCGATACTCTTAATATTTTACATATCTCAATATTTTTACTATAATAATATCTGGTGTGAAGATTGGGTATAAAGGACCACTCCTCCTGGTACCTCCCCCACAAAGGAACAAAATTTTTAATAATTATATCACTAATAAAATGCGAAATAAGCATCCGATTGTCTTTCACACATCTCAATATTTTCACTAATGTAAAATCTGGTTTGAAGATGGTATATATCGGTTCACTTCTTCTGATACCTCCCACACAAAGGGTCAAAAATTTGAATAATTTTATCTCTGATAAAATGCGAAATAAGCACACATTCCAATACTTCTATCAACTCAAGATATATTGTGGAAATGGTGTATATCGGCTTACTCTTTCTGGTACCTCCCCCTCAAAGAAGTCAAAATTTTTAAGAACAATTCCTCATAAAATCGGAAAAAAACATTCGATTGTCTTTAATTTTCACACATCCCAATATATTTACTAAAGAAATATCTGGTGTCACCGGAATTGTTTCACATTTGGTATTTGAAGTTCGAAATGGATACTACACCCAAAGACAGAAAATTGTCTGTGCAAGTCCCCGTCTTCGTATAGCCTCCATATAACGGTACCTTACGATATTCGATATTTTGGTGATTTTAGCGACATTATTCACAGGAATTGTTTTAAATTTGGTGTTTGAAGTTCGTAATGGATACTACATTCTATGACAAAAAATTTGCTGTGCAGGTCCACGTTTTGGTATAGCCCCCATATAATGGTACCTACCTATATTCGTTATTTTGATGATTTTAGCTACATTATTCACCGATATTTTTTTCAAGTTTGGCATTTGAATATTATTATGGCTTATGACAAAAGATGTCTATGCAAGTCCACTTCGTCGTATAAACGCTAATATAATGGCTAATGTCGGTATTTTTAAGATTTTAACAGAATATTTAAAGGATTTTATTCTTTTGAAAATCGTCAAATTCTTTCCAAATGTTGGAGGGCATTCAAGATTCGGCCCGTCCAAATTTACAGATTTTTTAATTGTTGTTCCAAAATACCATAATAATATTCACTTCATAAACGCTTTGAAGTATGCAACCTTTAGTTCAGCTCATATAACACTTGACGGTTAGTCAAAACTCTTTTTGTGATTGGATATGAAGCTTAAACGAGAGAGAGTAAACAAAACGTAAACATATTTTGACATTTCCTCTGATAAAAACCTGGTGTAACACCTCATTGTTATGTCATGGTACAGACTTAATGAACTAAAACTAATTAACATTGAAGTATATAGATGGCGTTGGTTATACGACATAACTGTCAAGGATTGGTGCCTTATCATCTGATAAACATTGTCGTTTTTCTCACTTGTAAATAGACTTTGTTTTTATAGAAACAGCAATAATAGCCACTTTACAACGGATTATTCACTTTACAACGGATTATTCGCATTGATTTGCATTTGTTCCCGTACAAAATTCAATTGACGCAAAGAATGTTGCCTGCGGACAAGCCTCGTCGATTGGAATGGGCCCAAAGAGTCATGGGTCCGCCGAATATGGGCAACCCTGTATGTTATCCCAACAAATAAATATCAACAATGTTCTACAACGCAGATATGATTTATATTTTCTTTCCTCAGTATAGTTTTCACTTTATGAACGCCAAAAAAGTATGCAAACAGTGGAACCACGTCAATATTTATTTATTTCTCATTCCATACGAGCTCAATGATCAATAGTCTTCTTATATTTCGTATATTAACATTGAAGTATAGATGGCGCTCTTAATGTGAAATTTGCAAACTATTTATACAAATTTAGTAGCCTTTCAGCAAACTGTTCTTACTTCATTATGCCTTTGACAGCATCTCATTGTGAAATTGTATATCCATAAATCCATCCACAAATCAGAGATGAGAATCTATTTACTATTCACTTGAATTTGACGAGATCTATTACCAAAATACAGAGCAGACTTACTTTAATGGTGTAATTTCTATTAAATATTTTTAGAAGTAGAATGCGCCCGTTTCGTTAATTTACTCATTAAATATTACCGAGAAAACAGCAAGTCCGGGTAGACGTTCTTTATAAAAATCCATCGATATCGATAATAAGAAGGAAGTACATTGGCTCAACATGCACGTTCTATTTACCCCTTAAAAGTATACAACGTATTATATAATTGTTGCTATGTTCCAGAACCTGTGAGAATATACTTTTTTGGATATCATAAAGGGAAAATCGGCTATCGTAGTAAAAGCTTTTCATTCTTTCAGTTCTGGAACAGACCCTTTATAAGTCCCATAAGTCGACATTTTGTTTAATAGCAAAATCGAGTTATAAAATTTTGACATCGGCTGCCTACCTATAATCGTTAATAATTTCAACTTCAGTGTTCCTTTTTAAAAACTACTTAGAATTAAAATATTTTAATTATTGAGTGGTTTAATTTGTTAGAAAATCGAGGAAATATTCAAAAAAAATTCCATTACATGATTGCATTGCCTAAGTACTTTTCAATATAGCTATCACAATAAATCTACATCCTTTTAAGGTGTCAAATGTTCTCAGCTCAAATTATTGTAAATCCTTCGCCCTTAAATTCCTTTCACATTAACTAATTCCTTTGTTTCCCCTTCTTCTTTTGTATTTCCGCAGGTATGCTAGCTCCAATGTTGGTGCAAATGGAGCGGCAAATCGATCGAGAGATAGCCGCCGACAATAAAGCCAATGGCATTGGCTGTGGCACACAGACCGAATGTGATGGTACACAGACAGATTTTGGCGTGGGAACCGAGACGGTCGGTACCGAAACTGACATTTTCGACGATAGTGACAGTGAAAATGAAGACGATGACGATCAAGGTCCCATGTTAATGTACGGCCCACAGCCACAAATCATTACAAATGATTTGAAGAGTCTCGATGAGATGGTAAGTTACACAGTTACAAATGACAGAGAGACAGAACGATTTACAAATACATATATATATATATATATTTATTTTATATTATTATTATTAAATAATATTTAACTCCACGCTGTGTTTAACCATTGGGTTGCACAAAAAAAAATATTTAAATTGCAGTCAAATATTATTATTATTAGATTTTTTTAATAAATCTTAACGTCTCTTTAAACATTGGCCTACAAACAAAATCACCACCAATCATCCAACTAAGTGAGCGCATGCGCCTCGTCGTTGTTCTTCGAGTCTTTGTGTGTGTGATGGCTTGGTTTGGATATTTCAAGATTTTTTTATTTGACAAACCATTAACGCCACTTTACGCTTCAATTTTTGGAGTTTGGCTTCTGCCAAAGCAGAAACCAAAAAAATACACAAATCTGGTGTTACTTAGATGAATATTGTTGTGCTGGTTTAAAACCTTAAACGATAATTTAATGGCCAAACGGCTGCAAACAAACTTGAGGTTATTTCTTGTTGTTGTTGTTACCACAAATATGACCTTGCTGCCGGTTTTTGCTTCAAAACCATTTGGCAGAAAATTCTACGACGTAATGATCGCCGAGATGATTTATAATGCAAGAAATTGAAAATTATTATTTATGTACTGCTAAAAATAGAAAACACAAGACAAATATGGTTTTAATGGAGCTATGAAAAAGGCCTTACTTAATTTAGAGATGTCAATTGGCAATCATATTTTGCTCAGTTAAAAAGAACGGGAAAATTACACTGTGCGACAAAAATTCAAATTTTTAAATAATTACGGAGAAGATTAAGAAAGAAGAACTAAAATAGAAGACCGGGGTATCGGCTTTTTGAGAATTTACATCGTTAAGTAACCTAAATAGTGGGGAAAAATTCCCAAATCTTTCACACTTTTTAAAAATGTCGAATTAAGATTCCTCTGAATCCGGGCATTTTAGATGTATTATGTCTTCAGCAATATTGTAGGATACGAGGAATATTTTAGTCGAAGACTTTAACCCTCAAGCGAGCCAAAAAATGGGTCTTTTTGGTCCTTTCTTTAAATAATATTTGAAAACTCCATTTTAATAAAATGGTAGTAAGTGGGATCGTAGTAATTATTTGCCATAAAATTCTAATATTTATAAGTCCTAGAAGACGTCAAAAGTCTTAGTCTTACCTAGACGCCAGGAATTCATATATACAAAAAAATCATATTTTAAGGTTAATGACGTATTTTGTATAAATTTGTGAAAAAATCTCAAACGAAACACCTTTCTAGAAGAATGACATTAAAGACAAAAACATTCTTCATCAAATTTCACAATAAGTTACCAAAGAAAAGAAATCTCTATCTCATATGTATATCAAAAAAATAATTGCATCAATGTTCAAAGAAAAAAATCTGAAACTAAAGTGAAAATCAAGGTTAGTTTTTTTAATGTTAATTTAACACGTATCCAATCTGAGTCAAAATCTTCCTTTGCAATTCATTATTTGGGGAAAGTGTCAAAGTAAGAATTATTCTAGATCAAATTTCATTATGAGCGAGTGAACAAAAGAATTTTGTTTATCCAATATGTACCCTGAAAAATAGCATAAATTTTTGTTAATAACAAACCTTGTTCATTTTTGAAAATTTATCTCAAGAGTTTTTTCATCAAAAATGTTTGCTCTTTTTATATGGTACATATTGAATATACAAATTTTGTTTGTTGAGAGACTCATAATGAAATTCGATTTAGAATTATTCTTCCTTTAACACTTCCCCCAAAATGTAAAGGATTAAGGGAGATTTTGACTTAGACTGGAAACGTTTTAAATTTCACAGTAAAAAAGCAAGCACATAATTTTCACTTGTAGTACATAAATTTCGAATGTAATTTTCTTCAATACTATTGTATCTAGGTACATGGTTTGTTCTGAGATTTGAGGTTAAATTTTGTGTAGAATATTTCGTCTTTTATCGCCTCCTGCCTAAATTGATATTTTCTGTTACTTTCTGGCGTCTACTCGAAAAAAACGGAAAAAGTAATCAAATAAATGAGAATTTTTTTTTTGGAATATATTTTCTTGATATATAATGGATTTAGAAATTTTTTTCACTTGGTGAATAATAGTGAAATATGATGAAGAATATTTTTGTCTTTGGCGTCATCCTCCTAAAAAGGTGCCTTGTGCGACAATTTTGCATAAACTCACATAAAGTACGGCATTAACCCGTAAATTTCTAAAAACAAATATTTATGATATTTTTCATGTTATATTCTAATTATACAAATTCCTTTTGTTCGGAGACTCATAATGTACTTTGATGTAGATAAATTCTTCCCTTGACACTTTTCCCAAAAAACTGAATTATAAAGGGAGATTTTGGCTTACAATTGAACTGTGTTAAATTGTCAATAAAAAAGCGCACACAGATAATGTTCCCTTATAGTGCCTAAATTTCGATTGTAATTTCCTTGAAAACTATTGATCTTAAATATATAGTTTGTTCTGACATTTGTAGTGAAATTTTGCTAAGAATATTTCTTGCTTTGATACTTTTTGCATAAAATGCAATTTTATATAACTTTCGGGCGTCAACTCAAAAAGAAGGACCGAAGAAAAATTAATCAAAAAAGGAAATATTTTCGGTTTTATTTTTCTGGAACATTGATTCCAATATTTTTTTAAGATACAATGAAAATGGAGAATTTTGTTCAATGGTGACTTATAGTCAAATTTGGTAAGGAATATTTTTGTCTTTGGTGCCATTCTTCTAAACTGCCGTTTTGTAGTAGATTTTTTCATAAACTCACATAAATTACGGTTTTAACCCTAAAATATGTTTTTCAATATTTGTGGCGTTTCGGTAAGTTTTAGACTTTTGATATCTTCTAGAACCTATTGTAGAATTTTATTATGAATAATTTTGTAGATTGTTATGACTTCCTACGTTTCCGTTTTAATGGAGTTTTTAACCATATTTTTAAAAAATGACAAAAAAGGCCCCTTTCTTGGCTCAATTGAGGGTTAACATTTTTGAACTAAATATTCCTCGTATATTTATCTGCAATATTGCGGAAGACGCTATATACGAAAATGTAAGGATTCCAAGGATTCTTAATAAGAAAAATTCCTAATGTGTGAGAGATCGGAAAACTTGCCCTCTCTGTTTTGGCTAGTTTGCGCTGTAAACTTTCAAAACACCGTGAAACGAAACGTGTATGTTTCTTCAAATTCAAGCTCTACTTTCATAAACTTCTGGATTTCCCTTGTATTTTTTTTTTTTTTTTTTTTTGAAGCTCTGCACGACTTTTCACTGAAATTCTCAGAATTTCTCAAAATAATTAATTCTTGAAATAATTTGTGCATTTCAAAAACTTAAACACCAGCATTTTCACTGACCCTGTTTGAAACACTCACCTTCAACCCAAAAGCAAATTGAGAAAACTTCAATTTTTCACTGCATTTTATTCCGAACACCCCAACAAGGTCTCCCAAAAATTGAAATTGTCATTCTTGGCAAGCATATTTTGTTGTTTTCATTTCGTTTTTTTTATTTCTTCTGAAAAGAACTGAGCTAACAAATTATTCAATTGCTGACATTAACTGCTTTCTTGATATTGATCTGTTTCTGAGAATCAATGGCTAGGTGAAATTAACATTTGTCGTACGAAACCTTATATCATGGCAAGAAATCATAACGAAAATAATTTCTCTTGGCCAGAACAAGCGAACATTCGAACAAACCATTGACCACAACATGCAACCATCGAACCAACCGACCATGTAACATTGCAACTGGAAAACAATGAACCATAACCATAAATTTTCCTATGAAATCGAATTAAAGTCACGTTTTATGGTTAGGGCGCGCGTGCCCATATCGAGGAGCTATTGAAGTCAGAAATTTCTTTCACAACAACAACAGCAACAACATCAATTGACAACCGGAGGCCACAAATGAAATGTGCAACCGCAACAATGTTGGCACAATTCTTCCAAACACAAACACATACATCGATATTTTTTCAATAGGGAATATCAATAACCATGATCCCACCAGATGTACACTCATACATGTACATAGGCGGCCCAGTAATGCCTGTGCGGAACTGCTATTAACCACATGAACCCACAACTAACACGGTGGCCCACATTGGGACAACAATAACAAATGCAATGAGATCGCCACACTGATTATCGGCTGCAATCTGCATAGAGCAAAAATGAAGTGGTGAAATGAATTGAGCTCAAAAGCCACACAAAAGTTGGACGGCCAACCAGCCAGCCAGCCCACCACCACCAATCCATGAATGTAAATCAAGCTATTTTGTTGTTGTTATTGTTATTTTGTTGTTTATTCAAAAAGAAAAACATGTAATTGTTATGGAAAAATTATGAATATTTACATATTCAACTATAATTACAGTAAAAGAGGTAGAGTGAGAGCGAGAGAGAGGGAGAGAGGTTTGGTGAGAGGGTCCTTGGTTGGACAGATAGATAGATAGATATATGTCTGATTTGAGGAAGGAGTTACATGGATATGTCATGTTTTCGCATTTTTTTTTTTTTTTTTTTTTGATGGCTTTAATAAAAGAATGGACAGTATGTTAATGCAGATACATAGAGACATACATACATATTTATAATTGTAGGTTTGCTTGATTTCATTTCAAACATAAGTTAATATCTTTGTACAATGTCTATCTAAGCAATATTATTAACATATTCATTTGAATATTAACAACATTATTAAATTGGCAAATCGTGTATTTAATTTTTGATAACTGCATTGAAATCAAAAAAAATCAAAATGTATTGGGGGTTAGAAGAAATTTTATGACCCAAAATATGGGTCTAGACTCTAGAGCTGGTTAAGGAAAGAGACAAGAGAACACGTGCTCTCAGCAAGCGCAATTCTCTTCACACACCCAGCCAGAAATATTGAAAAACAATTTTACGAGAGAGTAAAAAAAGGGGGAGAAGATAAAAGTGCGGCTCTCTGTCTG